TGGCTTCTACAGGCAGGATTTATTTGTTCATTTTTGGGGACAATGTCTCACCATCTAGTCCTAGCTGGCCTGAAACTCACTGTGTAGACCAGGATGGCCTTGAACTCCCACAGATTCACCTGCCTCTCTTTGACATCCCTGTGCTTGGAATTTTGAATGAAATGTTAGTGCTGGGTTAAGTTTCATAGTGACCGGGAATTAATTTCTGACCCGTGTCTGAAGAGGGAAGGGTGGGGAACAGGCCACACAATCACACGCAGGTACAAACCCGCCACTGAACAACCTGGCATAGCAACAGTCTGCATCACAGAAGAACATTCTGGACCCAGTCTCTGGAGTCTGGAGAAGGGGTGGACGGGTAAAATACAGCCTGCCTGCCTGTCTGCGCAGAGGTGTTTTGTGTTAAATTCACACACGGACTGGAGAGATGGCTTGGCCATTAAAGGCTAGGCTCATCACTGAAAATACAAAATTCACACAAAGGTGAGGGCTGCACTGAGTAATTCTTCAACTCTTCCATTGTAGGGTGATGATAACAACAGTAACAATAAACACATATCAGGGACTGGAGAGATGATTTAGCAGTTAAGAACAGGTGCCACCTTTGCAGAAGACCCGAGTTTGGTTTCTAGAGCCCATGTTGGACGACACAGAGCTGCTTGTAATTCCAGCTTCAGGGGATCTGACACCCTCTTCTGAACTCTTGCAGGCACTCGTACTCAGGGGTGCATGCCTCTCTCAGACACATACGTTTTCTTAAAAGCACGTCTAAGTCAGGCATAGTGGCATGTACCTGGAACGCTAAGGACTTGGGGAGAAAAGGCAGGAGAACCAGCAGTGCAAGCTCAGCCAGGGCTATGTCAGGCTTTATCTGAAAAGCAAAACCAAGAACATAGTGTATTCTGATTTTAAAGGCCAAAATTGATCTCGGTAAAAAAATTTGCAAAAAATGAAAAAGAATTTTAAAAATTACTCATAGTCTTACACCCAGTGGAGTTATCCTTTGCGGATTTTCAAAGAGTCTTCCTCGCGTGGATTTGACCAGAAAGAATGGTCTAGAAGTACAACAGGCTCGAGATGTGCGTGGCACAGCTAAAGAAGACGTTACGTGAGTGAATGTTAGGCGTCATCGTATATTCATAGCCGAGAGGATTTGTTACTTCTTCGGGAGGGGTCAGAGGAGTCAGCACGGTTAAAGTGCACATGAGGGTGTAGACATGACATGGGGGATGTTGGGATGCCCTCTTGGGGTTCTTAGTCTCCTTAATGAAATAATCTAAGGATGGACTCAAATGAAAGCTCAATGTCAATTTTCTTAGTTTACAAGAAAGCCCTTGCCCCAGGCAGGCAAGCTGTAAATCTCAGCGGCTGCCTGGAGAAAGAGAGTGGAAGAATATAGAAAAAGCCATTTAAGCTGGCACGGTCGGGCACAGGGAAGAGAGAGCAGGCAGGGAGAGGCTTCAGAGAAAGAATAAGAAGGTCTCAAATGCTGGGGGAACCCAGAATGTCAAGGAAAACATGCTTTAAAAAGATAGAGAAAGAGAAAAAGAAGTTCCGCTTTTCTGGGTAATTCAGGAAAGTGGGCCGCTGCATGGCTGTGAGCTACTGCACTGGGAGTTCTAAGGAGGGATAGAGAGTAAGGTACCTCAGAAGGTCTGATTCCACTGTCTCCTTAGCTGGGCTTGAGGGGAGTCTGCCCTCCTAGGGGTGGCCCCAAGGTCAACTGGAAGGCTGGGTCTCCACCCAGGCTGGAGAGTCTATTCTCTTAACCAAAAGGAGTTTTTCTCCTCTGACAAGGGCTCCTCCTGTGTGCCTGAACTGGGTTTAATAAAGGAATGTCTCAGGGGTGCCTGGTTAAAAAAAAGAATCTCTGTCTTCACTTTGGACTACTGTGGGTTTGTAGTACCTCCTCCCCCGGTCCCCCTGTGTTATTTCTCCATTGTGGTGGGAAACTGTTTGCACATTAGGTCTGGTTTAAGTCCCAGGATCCTTTTCCGGGAGGGAAATGATTACCCAAGCACTCAAATGAGGTTTTAACCGAATCACCAGAGCCTCTTAGGCTTGTGGCCTTCCTGTGTTTGTCAAGCATGCGTCCTCTGTGTGCTTCCTGTGTTGCTCATGCTAATGGACCCTGTGGATGACGAGCTCACAGACTTGTTTTGATGGCCAGCATATTGGTTTTAGGGAAGAAGAGAGGAGATTTTTTTCTTTTTTAATCCTTTGATATTTCATAAAGTATACACTGTGTTTTGATCTTTTATATAGCATGATTTTTCCTTTGTTTAGCTGAAAAAAAATAATTGAAGACATTATTGTTAGGGTGACTTGAAAGACAAGGGGACCTATAGTTGACTTGAGAGTTAAATTGTAACTTGCAATCTTCGAACAAAGACTCCTTTAGCAATTAAAAAGGTAATGAAAAGTCAGTGCCCGGGGTTGGAGTGTGGAGACTCATCTTTTCTGCCTTTGCATTTCAAACAGGTCTTACACCGTAGCCTAAACTAGCCTGGAGTTTATTCTATAGTTCAGACTAGCCTGGATCTCATGGTAATCCTCCTGTCTCAGCTTCTTGAGTGTTGAGAATGCAGATGTGAACCACCATGCCTGGCTGCTTTTTCTGTTTTTATCTACCTTTCATCCATTAATCTTTTAAATAAAACCATTTATTGTGTGAACTTCAGTGAAAATAACTATTTGTTCTTTGGTGTTGGTACTTTGAAATGCATTCAGTTTAAATCATTGTAATTTACCCATCATTTTGTCATTTATAGACATCTACCTTGTAGGGCCTGGAGCTGCAGATTCAAATCAGAAGCAGAAGCTCTGGGTACCTGATCTAGAGTGGTACACAGCCTCTAGGTGGGTAAACAGACTCACACTGAATACAAATGATACATTTGTTTTAATTTCCTCAATTCAGGAGTGTTTGACAGGGATGATGATACTATTCAGGAGACCAGACTGTATTAATGTTTCCCTCTAAAGGTTGAAGCAAACTAGAGGCCGCAAATCCCCCGGCTTTGGTGAGAGAGTACAAGGACTGCCTTGGTTATTGTGGGGTTTGGAGTGCTGTCCCAAGTCCTTTGGTCCTTTGGGGCCCCAAGCTTATCTGGACGGCTTTACTGCCCTACTCTGCTTTCCTGGAACTATTCTGAGTAGGGCTATTCTGAGTAATCCCGCTTCTGGGATTAGATGGGTCGCAGCCGGTGCCTGTGGACAGACGTCACAGTGGGCTGGCTGAGGTACAGCTCCCAGTGACCACTTTCAGACTTCCACAGGGCGGACCCAGGAGGTCAAGGCCATCAAGTTCATGTCCTAGCGGTTTTGAGGCCAACGGCTTCTTTTCTGATGAACAATCACTAACTTGCTACCAGACAGAAGCCGAACCTCATTCAGCAGTATTTTGTTTTGTTGTGTTTAGTAGTCCGTTGGGCTAATGGTTTGCAGTTAATAGAGAGACTCAGATTACATAGTCCCATATGTAAGGGTCCTATGAGTTCGGTGTGTAGGCCTTGCCCATCTAAACTCATAGGTCATACCTATCTTTTTGTTTTTTTGTACTGTGCTGTGGATGGAATGTATCAGTCTTCCCTCACGTCACCAGCGTGTTTCAGAAGTGTTCCGCAGGAGAGCTGAAAGTGTTCATTTTATTTTATCTTCTATATCTAGTCTTTCCAGAAATTAAGAAAATTATTAATTTAATTTAAAATTAATTTAAATATTAAAAACTAGGCTATCAATTATGTGTAAGGATGGTAACTGTGGATTTGCTAATTATGTCTCCTGACAAACCTGACCAGTGTTTTTTAAAGATCACGATCTTATCTTGAAGAGAAGGTACTGCTCGGATGCCTTTGTGTGTACAAGTGTGTGAGTATATGTCGGTGTTCCTCTGTGTGTGTGTGTGTGTGTGTGTGTGTGTGTGTGTGTGTGAGACTGTGGTTTTGGTTCACTCGTGCTGTGATTGACAGCGCTCTCCTATCACGTTCCATTTTCATATGATAATCACCACTGAATCCTCATGCCCTCTCCGTGTAGCAGCTGGAATATAAGTATGAAATGCTGCACACTGGAACAATAGTGGGAGGGGCCTCTGAAGGCTACCAAAGGCTCAGGGTCGTGTCCTGGGCTAGGAAAAGCCGAAAGGTTAGCCTAGTGGTCAGCCCCCGGGCCCTGGGAACCATAGACCTCTAAAAGCAAGGGGGGATTGAGAGGTTAGAATGTCTGTCTATGTGACCCGGGCAGCCCTCCCGGAAGAAGGGTCCCACAGTCTCTCAGAACTCCCTTTGATTTGCTGTCATTCCACACAATGTTTAGTAATAAACAGAGTTCAATGGCCAGAGTCTAGACGAACAAATCGCGGCCTGGCAAACCCTGCCTTCTGATGACATGTTATGTCTTAGCCACACAGAGAGGAAGGGGCCAGCTTTGCTATTCTAATACGCTGCCTTTGTGAGCGAGGAGCAGAGAGGAGAGACCTAGACCAGACGCGGATTCGGCTAAATTAGAAGGTATTCCCCACTTTGTGGCTTGTGATGCTCCTGCTGTGTCTTCCTCCTCCAGGCATCCGGAAGCTGCCCTGAACTTTAGTGACACAAGAGAGGTTTAAATACTAATATTTCCGAAACCCTCGGGGCAGGCTCAACCACCTGCTTTCCCCAGAGCAGCTGCCAAGAAAGGTTCTCACCGAAGAGACACCGGCTTTCCCTTTAAACAAAATATTTAATCAAAGTTGGATTTTAATTGAGCCAGAATACCTTCCTGGGCATTTCGTTTTCCACGACTAGAATTTTCTTTGTCATCTGAAAGTGAGGTATCTCAGAATGCACTCATCTGCTTGCCCTACCCCCTGCTGTCTATAAAGTATGTATCCAGCATGGACATACTTGGGTACATCTCGTGTGTGTGTGTGTGTGTGTGTGTGTGTGTATGCATGCACGCACGCGTGTAGTGAGTACTTGTGACAAAGGGTAAAATCTCCATTTCTGTTGGGACTGAAATGCAAAAGATGTTAGGGAAGGGCTGAGGTCTTTGAGTTTTATGTCAGATTACCCCTGGAGTTAAATATACCATAAAGAAAACACGCCTCTTTTATACAGTCCGAGGTGGATATACCGTGTGTGCAACCAAGAGTGCTTAGACACTGTGCTCGGTAGCTTTCCTCAGGACTGCGTTCAGTCTTTCACTTTGAAGTAATTTGCTTTCCGCCTCTATGGAGGAGCCACCGTCTTCAGTTCTTCAAGGGTGTTTTTCTTCTCACGCACTGCATTGTTTACCTGTTGTTAATGGTGCCTCACAAATATTTACCAAATGTTTCTAAACTGTCTGCTCAGGACTCTGGCAGCCTCCCCTTGGGTACCCAGCCTTTTAAGGTAAGCCTCTCTGCTGGTATCTGTGCAATTAGTTGGGAGCATTTTAATAACAGGCAATCATAATTGCTGTTTGCTGATCGTTGTGAGGAATTTCCCATGTGCATTTATTTTTAGGAGGACTAGATTGCTGTGTGGCACACGGGCACACCGATAAAGACTTTAATTACCGTGTGAGGGGCTTTGGAGGACGAGGAACAAGAATGTGGCGGGGTGGGGGGGTTCATGTTTTGTGGAAATCTGTGAAGAGAATTTTCAGTTCCTGTAATTGCTGAAAGCATGGCGCTTCTGGAATGAAAGGTGTTTCCAGATAGTCCTAAGTCTGCACAAATGTTTAGATGCAGGGCAAAATGTGCGGAGTTCAACAAACTGCCAGGTGACAAAAACCCAAAGCCTATGATTTTTGTTACTTTTTCAGAGAAAAGGTTTTTTTTATCATGGACATAGATTAATCCTATAGATTTCTCTTTTCTGGAAGAAAAACCAGCGTTACCCCTATTTAATAGAGTTGTGTTTGCACACACGCTTTTTTTCCCTAAAGGAATAACAAATGGCCAGTCCTCTCTCCATTAATTTAAATGTTAATTACAGCACAAAAGAATTATTCATACCTGATCCTCCTCCAGTATTTATCTCAGAGATAAAAATGTTCAGATTTTAAATACATTTTACCTGAGTAATTAAGTTCAGGGGTCAAGAACAGTAGATGAACTCAGTTAACAGATATATGCTCATGTTCCAGCCATGCTAATTGGTTGTTGACAGGACAGAAAAATTAAATTCCTGCAAAGATTCTTAGTTTCAGCTTAGTGAGATTCCAGGGGGTCTGGACTGAAAAGCAAAAAATAACTATTATTGCTATTAATGCATCTTAGTTTTGCTTTTGCTTAACTTTAGACTCATTTCTTGCTTGGATTAAGGCTAACAGTTTTGCTGGCTTAATAGTTATAAAATAGAAGTAGCCCATAGATGGTTGACCATTGTCCCTGAACTGAGACCCCATTAAGGTCAGTCTTACTGATTTAAGGGATGTGGTTCAGTTAGCCATGAGCTCATTGCAGAGTTCAACCCTTCTCTTCTCATAGGTGGGAAGATGTCAGCAACCCTAGAAGTCTGAGTTTTGAAACCCCTAGCCTTCTAGCCTGGGGCGGGTACTCTCCGGGATGTCTTTTAGATGGCTGGCCTCAGACTCTCTGAATTCTGCTGCTGCATCCTCTTGTAGTCGGGGCTGCTAGGACACAATGAAACAAACTAAGTGCTGTATGCCCAGGATGTTTCTGGAGCATGGATAGCCCAGGACGTAAGGCACCGTTGGGTCTGGTGTCTCCTGAAAGTTTTCTTCAGATATTGTCTGCTGTGTCCTTGCGTGAAAGGCTGTGTAAGGACACTGTTTTGTCCTTGTGACTTGACTTCCAAAGACACTGTCTCCTGTCACAGTCTAGGATAGGAAGGGACTTAAGGACTCTGGCATGGCCTCCCCTTAGCCGTCTCATACACTGGATTCTCGTTGTCCAATCAGGAGAACCTTTGGATCTGGGGTCCTTTCACAACCTCGTGTGGGTGGTACTCTCCTCAGACTGTTCCTTCTGTCTTACGCTGTGACAGAATGGTTTTTTGGACAGCATCATAGGGACTTCGAGCTTTGCTTTCTGCCTCTTGCCTTCAGTCTTGCTGGCAAGTTCATCTGTCCTGTTGTCATTGCCGCCACAACATCCCATCAGTGATGTTAGACGCAAGTTCATCAGGATTCCAATGTAGGCCAAAGACCAGCAGCTCTTTGGGAACCACCAAGGCCTCCCGTGTCACGGGGACTGCTGAGACGCCCAACCTTGTACAATGAACAACTACAAAATTCTCGACCTCATAGTGTGAGGCAGTGGTTGTTGGACTATTCAGGGCACGTCCTGTAAGTAATAAATCTCCCTTTAAGAGGCTAGTAAATATGTAGATCTATATTTATATATATATATATATTATTTACATGATACATATATATATATTAATTCCATCAGTTCTGTTCCTTTAGAGAACCCCAACTAATACACTCAGGCAGAAACATAAAAAACAAAACATGCAACAACAAAACAAACAAGCAACCCCAAAACAACCTCCCTGTGCTATTTTCAGACAGCTCAGCTTCTTGAAGTGATTTGAAGGAGAAGTGTGCCCAGAGCCTCAGGCACTGCAGCGTTCTGTTCTCCGCTTGGCGGTGCTGTTTTGGGAAGCGTAGCAGTCACGGATCTGGTGAGGGAAGTTGTCACCAGAGGCAGGATTTGAGTTTATGCAGCCTCATCCCACTGCCCGGTGTGGTCTCTGGTCTCTGCTTCATGCTTGTGGCTGAGATGCGCTTGCTCAGCTTCTGCTCTTGTGGCCTGCTCCCGCGTCTCCCTACCATGGTATTCTCTTGTCCATCCTGAGCCATAAGCCCCAATAGACTTTTCTTTCTAAAAGCACCCTTCCCCATGGTGTTAATCACGACAACAGAAAAGCAGCTAACACAGAACTGATTTTTCTTTTTTGATTTTGAGCTTCTCTGTGCAGCCCAGGTAGGCCTTGATCTTGGATCTGCCTCTGCCCCGGAACGCTAGTCCGCAGGTCAGTTTATCCAACCTCTCCAGTGCTGGCCTTACCATGGTCAGTTCGCATTTCGGTTCTTGATATTCCAAGCCGGGCTTCTTGGCTTCAGAAAGTCTCTGAACATGCTAAAAGTCCTGATTTTTTGTGAGTCTCAGGGTCTGGGGTTAAGACCCTTGTCTGTACCATGAACTTTCAACAAGGCCACTTGGAAATGTGGTTGCTTTATTGACTCTACTACGTTTTGCCCTCTCCTCAGCCAAAAACCTCAGAAATCTAGTTTTAATGCAGTAGAAGGTGGGGAGGAGCTGGGAAGAAAGATGACGACGGAAAGCAAATGTAGCAGCGGGAAGATGGATGGACTGAGAACAAAAGATCGTCAGTAAATGTCTCAGGAAGCCCATTCGCAGGCCTCGGAATGGGAGCTACCTGACAGGACGCCCAGGTTTTCTCTGTCTAGAACATAGCACTCCAAGGTGCTAATTTCTTTAGTCTGTAACCTTAGAAAGTTCTTTTTTTTTTGAGACCTTTCTGAATCTGACCAAAATTTATGACCTAAATTGCCCTACAAACTATTTTTGGGTCTCCACAGTGGTGCTCAGATTTGCCAAGTGTGAGATCCCAGCACGGAGCCCTTTTCTCGAGAGTGATTGCTGACATCCAGGAGCATATGATGTAAGACACTTTTCAAAAGCCATTACACAAAAACGTAGGGTGATGTGAGACAGGAACCGAGGGCCGTGAAGCAGGGACACGGTGCCAGGATCGGGAAAGATGAGATTTTGGTGATTCAAACAAAATAACTATTACTAGATTACTGCTGGGGTCAAATAACCCATTATCCGACCATTTGTCAAGCCCCAGGATGCGCTTCCCACCATCTAATAATTCCACTCTAAAGAAAACCAAACAGAACCCTTGTCTGGATCTGGCCTGGCACACAGGAGGTATTCATGAGTATCTGGTCACTTTCCCGGTGGCTTCTCATGGGTCTGAGAGATGATCAGAGCTGCTGAGGCATAGTCAGGTCCTATCACGTGGGCCAGCACTACATCGCTTGGAGCAGAACCTGGGAAGAAAAGTAGGACATCGGCCAAAGAGGAAGATGGGCCAGGAATTCCAGGGGGACCAGGGAAGTTATTTTAATTTTTGAGGAGAACTTGCCCAGCTCATGATGTGGTACCACATTTTCTCTGACTCTCAGATTAGGACAGAACCTTTCCCCTTCTAGAACAAGCACGGAGGCACAAAATCAGTTGAGGCCCGGGCCTGTCGAACACAATGGCTCTCTAGCTAAGAAATAATGTGATACGAATGGCCCTGAGTTCAAAACTTACCTTGGCTATTTTTCTTACTGTGTGTTTTAAGAAACACTCGTGGCTTTTCTTAATTAAATGCAAATATGTAAAATTATACATTCACGTAGAACATGTTCTTTCAAATCCCTGCTCCTTCTCGTATGTTTACGAGCTGTCCTTCCCATCTGGAGTTGGAGTGTGTACTTGCTCATTGGAGTATGTCATCTGTATGCTATTACCGTTCATTTATGAGCCTGCTTTGTATATGTGTCTAGATCAGTAGTTCTCAACGGGTGAGTTGAGACCCCTTTGGGGGTCAAACAACCCTTTCACAGGGGTTCTCTAAGACTATCAGACAACACAGATCTTTACATTATGATTCATAACGGTAGCAAAATTACAGTTATAAAGTAGCAACAAAAATCATTTTATGGGGGGGGGGTCACCAAAGCATGAGGAAATGTATTAAAGGGTCGCTGTGTTAGGAAGGTTGAGAACCACTGCTCTAGATGGGCACACGGCCTTTGATATTTGGCGCCAGAGAAGCTCAAAAGGTTTTGGCACTTGTCAGACCCTTGGGCTGATTGACGTTCTGGCAAGGTCAGGTTGTGTGACGAAGGTGTTGCCATTCATGTGAGTGAAAAGTGGGGATTCCGGGGATCGTATGGAACACGGTGACTAAGGCGGAGGAGGGAGAACTGAGTGTAAAGATGGGACTGGAAAGTCTCAAAAGTGATGAAGAGAAGAACACAGAGTGAGGAGCTTCAGTCGAGAATGAATCCAGACTACAGTGTGAAGTTCAGATAAACCAGTTGATTTTAAAGACGGAAGGGGTTCTGTTGATTGTACCCAAAGGCAGAAGGTTTTACATCCCTTTCATCTTGGCTCTGGATTAGAAAGAGGAAATGCGGCGATCCCTGTTTTCCGGGGGTTGTCAATTTAGCATTTGGTATGCCAGTGTGCGAAGAGATCCACAGAGAAGAGGCTGGCCCTTGGGAAACACTGCCCAGAGGAAATGATGTTCTGCATATCAGGAAACTAAAGCCCTGTTGTGCAGTGATTTTCTCCAAGACAAACCTGTTCACTTTAGAGAAGACCCAGGATGTCAAATCAAAGGGGAAGTAAGCATCAGGGTATCAAGTGGGGGAGGTCACTAGGACAGAGGATGTCAAAGGGGGGTGAAATGGCAGTATTTTCTAGCAGAGGTGAGACCTCCATCCTGCAGGGAAGTTCCATAAGCTCAGGAAGTAGACAACTTGGTGGCTTCAGGAAGTTCCTGAAAGTGACCAGAGTCCCTAGGCCTCTCCCTTCTCAAGCATATGTAAAGAGTAATGACTGTTGAAAGACACACTCCGACAAGCTGAGTTGCCTAGAACAGGCTCAGACCAGCTGCCTTGGTTAGTTTCATTGACACAGGCTAGAGTCATCTAGGAAGCGGAAAGCCCAAATGAGAAAAGGCCTCCGTGAGACTGACCTGCAGGCAAGTCTGCAATTTTCTTTACTGGTGAATGGTGTGGAAGGGCTGTGTATGAGGGTTGTATAAGAAAGCAGGCTGAATAAGCCATGAGAAACAGGCCAGTGAGCAGTGTTTTTCCGTGGCTTCGTCTTCAGTTCCTGCCTCCAGCTTCTCACTCCGAGTTCCTCCTGCGGCCTCCCTTCCTCATGGATTGTAAGTTATGAGGCGAAGCAAACCTTTCCCTCCTCAAGTTGGCTTTGGTGAGTGTTCTGACAGCAACAGAAGCCTAAGACATCAGCCAAGCCACCTGGAAGAAGCAGGGACCATCGGAGATGGCTGGAAGAGGCTCAGACAGGTTGAGCCACCTGGAAAGGACACTCTCCGACCTACTGAGCTGCCCGCAGCTGCGCTGCACTTCAGGGTTCTAGCTCTTGGGATCTGTCACCTGTGCTGGAGTGGCCTTTGGTGATACAGCTGTCTTTGAGTCATTTCTAGGGTCGGGGAGAGGCACCTCATAGAAGTAGTGGTATTTGTACTTTGGTCTGTCATTGGTTCCCTATCTGGGTGAGCAGGTGTTTACTCAAGTCTTCCCGGGAATAGTGTTACACCACAAGCCTACAGTGACGAATAATAACAGAGAAAGACACATGGAGGATAGAGATTACAAAGCACCCTGCTTGCTTTGTGTAATGGCTTTTTCTGGGGTGCTTTGCTGGTAGCTCCAAGGCTGCTTGAGGAATCACATGGAGATTCCTCAGTCTAAAGAGCCAGGGGTACAGAGGGGACTGCTCTGCTCTTCCCTGATTGCAACTCTGAATGCCACGCTTTACTTGAAAGAACTATATTCAGGGCTCCTAAGAAGAAAGTTAGAAATGAGCCCACTCAAAAGAGAGTTGGGACATTGCCTGACCTTTGGATACAGCCATGTCTACCTGCTGCTAACCTCTTCTACCCTGAAATCTACTTCACTTAGTTTCGTTACCAGGCTCACACTCTGACCTCATTCCTCAGCTTCCTAGGCTAGCTCTGTGGAAATAATTCAGATGGGCTAGGTGGTGATGGCACTTGCCTTTAATCCCCGCAGTCGGGAAGCAAAGACAGGTAGATCTCTGAGTTCGAGGCCAGCCTGATCTACAGAGCAAGTTCTAGGGCGACCAGGGCTACACAGAGAAATGATATCTTGGGGAAAAAAAGCAACCAAAAACAAACAAAAAGTTTTAGACACTATGCCAAGAGTGTAGTGTAGAAGGTAGGTGGAGTTTATTTATAAATCGGGATACTCATACGGGTAAGAATGGGCAGTGAACAAAGAGACTATTGCAGAGGAAACACTCTCAAATTGGAGAGGGGGCAATAACCTGAGAGACTACTACTCTGATCCACAGTTTAGGGTAGGATTTAGCATGTTTAAGTCCCTAGAAAAGGTGGTTTTCCTGAGGGACAATTTCCTGTTCAGGTGATCGACAGGCCCAGGTGGATTAACTCTTAAGGGATGGGACAATAGTATGTCTTTATTCTTTACTGGAAGCCTCTGGCTAGATACTAATCTATGATCTTTGAGGCGGTTTCGTTTCAACACAGATCCTGTTTTTAGATTCGTAATCAATGCCCTGTAGTTTCTGTTTTTGCGAAACATCTGATTTTGAGGAAGGGTCCATCCTTAGTGTGGTCCAAGCCTGCTAATGCCTGACCTTACAGACGGAGTTATGACATGCTAGCAGGGATTTTCTTTGTTTCTTTTGGTATAGGGTTCCCGGCTGGCCTGACATTTGCGATGTAGAGCAAGGTGCTCTTGAACTTGGAATGATCTTTATCTCTCTGCCGCTTGAGATCTGGGATTCCAGGCACACACCGTTAGGACTGGCGCTACTAGAAATTTTAGCTGGGACAACTGAACAGCACTGATTATTTCCGTAGTGTTTCTTCCAAGCCTTCTGTAGGCTGGAAGGCTAGTGTGGGAAGTTAGCAGGACTCCTGGGAGAATGTTGAGGCAGAGATGGGGGAAAAGGGTCTTTGAGACACCACAACAGACACGAGGGTAGGCCAATCTAGAGGCTGTCTGGGTGAGCTGTCTGAAGGATGAGTTTCCTGTCTCTAAGTTCTCAGATGTGCAGTTTCTGGGAACAAGGGACTGATGGTCTGTTGTGTTGAGAAAGGCCAAAGGCGGGTAGCCGTAGACAACTGAGTTTTGGGAGACTGAAAAAAATGTCTGTAACCGCCTGTCTCAACTTTCTCTTCTGTCACTCTTGATTGGAGTGCTCCATCCAGAGCCATGAATCGAGGAAAGTTTTGGACAGCTCCAAGTAGCTGGGACAGCAGTAATTGCTCGAATGTGGTTTCTAAAGACTTTCCTGGTTACCAGGGGTGGCCTTACAATGGTCTTCTGGCAAAATGTGCCTAAGAGAAACTGCAAAGGATGTCCCCAAGGCAGTGACAGATACCCATCTTGTGGCTTTGGGACTCGATGTTCAAGTTCTATGGAAGCTAAGATTCAGGGAAGAAATTAGCCCGGAGTTAGGCTGCCCATAAATACTGTCCCTGTAATTAGATAATGAGAAGAGAATTGTAAAAGCCTCCAATTCAATTTCCTTCATTTAGGATATTCTTATTTAATTAGCAATGACCCCGAGGGATCAGCCTGAGATACTGTCGAAAGTAAGGGGGAAAAAAGGAAAAAAAAAAAAAAGAAAGAAAAAGAAAAAAGAAAAGAAAAAAATGGGAAAATGATTGTAATTGTAATGTCTTGTCACATAAACTTTGGGGGTTCAAGACACCTTTCTATGGGGTAGCCAAAGACATCAGGGGTGGGCTGTCCAAGTGCGGGCATACCATGGCTGTGGTACCCACTGCAGACTGAGGACGCTTCAAGAGTAGGCAGAGCCTGAAGTGTACATGAAGTGAAGAGAAGCAGACATGTTCAGCTTCATCCTGACTGGTTTCCCTGTGTATGAATATAACCGGATTTCCTGGATTCACAACCGGGGATGCATGTAAGATCAGAAACATACACAGACCTGCAGGGAAGGTGGAGTGTGGCCAGGGTGTGATGCTCCTCCCACGGCAGCTGGGAAGGGGAACTGGGGATACATGAGCAGCAGCATCCGCGTGACAGAGCTGGGAGAGCCATACAGAAAGGCAGTGCTTGTTATGATGACCTCTCTGGATGTCATGAGAGGAAAAAAAATCTGCTTTAATTGATTATCTCGGAAAGACCCACGGTGCTTTATTTGTTTAATATAGCAGATGCTTTTAATTGATTTTGGTCATCTTATCTCATTTCCTGGGTGATCCAACAGCTGAATGTGAGCAAGGAGAACAGGATGTCATTCCTGGGTAAAGCATTATTCATGTTGTCGGAGAGATGGGGTTTCTAGAAGGCAGAGCTTAAAGCTTCGAGCTGTGGTTTTGTTTTACTTTGCTTTGGTTTTTTATTTCTTGGCTACTTTAAATGTATGTATGCATCTATATATGTGTCTATGCGTGCATGCATGCATTTGGTGTGTTTATTTGTGTTTGTGGATGTGCACGCATGGACATGCCTCAACACGAACATGGGGGGGCAGAGGATAACTTGTGTGAGCTGATTCTCTCCCTCCACTATGTGGGTTCTGGGGATTAACCTCCAGTTGTCAGGCTTGGTAGCAAGCGTCTTTACCCACTGAGCCATGGTTTGATATTTTTTGCAGGTAAGATCTTACTATGTGGGTCTGGAAGACTTGGAACTCACTACGTAGCCCAGGTTGGCTTTAAACTGTGTGGCAGTCTAGCCTCAGGCTCCCAAGTGCCAAGAGTACAGTAAGTGTAACCACACCCAAGTTGAGGCCCGGGTTCTCGGGTTCTGGAGACCAGAATCTCGATCAACTAGAGAGGAAAGCCAGTGCATCTGTCCCTCTGTCAGGGACTTCCCTTGTTTAGTCTGGGAAAGCTTTGGGACCAGTTTTGCCAGTATGCTAATCACACGAGAGGGGAGACTAATTTAAGCAGGACAGCCAGTCCTTTCTTTGGAACCGAATAACAAATTCCATTATATCAGCGATTCCATTATATCATTCGAACAGGAGGCTCCTGAATAATTAACAGGATCTGGCTTTTTACTACCATGTGGCTAGCATGGAAGTGAAGACACTTCATTTTCTCCTTCTTAAACTGGAGGAATGACACATCTGGGCAACTGTGTCAACCACAGCAAAGCCCTACCAGTGGGAGAGACAGACAGAAATGCTTTCTTCTCAGAGACAACTCTTCCTTCACCCACTGCCCTGTTGGCCAGGCTCTCTAAAGCGAGATGCGTGTGTCTGCTCCCTCACGACTTCATGCTTTGCCCGCTCTCAAAGCGCTGCCCATCTGCAATGGCTGCCGCACCTGTGGTCAGCCTCACCCTGCCCTCTGTTGGGGCCGCCAGCCTCGGTTCCTAGAGAGTGTGCTTACAAAACGTCTCTGGTTATTTTTAATGGAGAATTTTGTAGCCACTAGTCTCCTGTGTTTGAAGAGATTACTGCGCTTTTCTTGTGTGTGTGTGTGTTATTCAAAGTGTTTGCTCATATTTTTATCTCCGAATCACTAAAAAGTTACACCCAAAAAGTAACATCTGAGTGTTTGCTTTTCAACAGGTGTTTTCTAGCGCTGCAGACGAGTATCTTATCACATCAGCTTACACTCCACTTACCCTGTCGCTTGTCAACTTGACTTCCATATCTGTGCTTCTGGGGTAAACTTCAGGTACGGGGTTTTTGGTGTTTATTTTTTTCTTATCTGCATTTAAAAAGGTTTATATTTGCATTAAACTTTTTATGTAATAGAGTAAAATTATGAATCTGTGTGGACAATTGCCTAACCATGTTGACAGAGAGAGGAGAAGAAAGAGAGAGGAGGGGGAGGGAGTGAGAAGGAGAGAGTGTATCAGTGGATTGAAAATGTAAAATGTAAATATGTAAATAGCTAAGAAAACTTTTAGGGCAAAAGAAAACAAGAGCCCTTTGTTTGTTTAGTGTCCACTTTTTAGTTTTTTTTTTTTAGTTTTTAGTTTTTGGTAACTGCTACTCATTACAAAAGTGTAACTCCACTGACCCAAGCCTGTAGACCTCGGAACAGGAAGAGATTTCTTAAGTAAGTCATAAAAGGAATGCAGTATAAAGAAAAGCGTTTATACGTTTTATTATATTAAAATTAACAAACTTATACAGAATAAAACAATTTTAATATATAACAATGGTTTCATGCCCTAGTTAATTACAGACAGTGGGGAAAGGTGTCAAAAGGCAGCATAGGAATGAGGGAAGGCAAATGGTCACCAATAGCCAAAGAAATACCCAACCTCAAAAATGACTGGGAGATACAAATTCAAACAGAAACCTGACACCACTGCGCAGCCACCAGACACCACTGCACAGCCCCTGGACACCACTGCACAGCCCCCGGACACCACTGCACAGCCCCCGGACACCACTGCACAGCCTCCGGACACCACTGCACAGCCACCGGACACCACTGCACAGCCTCCGGACACCACTGCACAGCCACTGGACACCATCACACAGCTACCAGGACCCCTGGGGAGCTGCATGGTGATGTTTGGTTGTTCTAGCATCTCTTAACCAATGAGCCATCTCTTCAGCTCCTGATTTTTTGTAGTTTCAATTAATTAGTTTCTACTTTTATGTTGTTGAGGATGGAATCCAGGTAAACACTTTCTGACAGAATTATGCCCAGAGCCCTAGTTTGTCCATTTAAATATGCTAAAAAAAGTTAGAGACAAATAAGTAATGTTTTGTATCTTGCAAAAATTTTTACGAAGGGGCTGGGGAGGCGGCTCAGTCCAGAGGACTGGGGTTCAGTTCCAGCAGCTATGTGGCAGCTTACAACCATCTGTAACTCCCAGTTTCAGGGCATTTGATGCCCTATTCTGGATTTGTGGGAACTGTGCACACATAGTGCTCATAATACTGTAGTGGTGGCTTGAAAGAAATTGGTCCCCATGGGGAGTGACATGATTAAGAAATGTGGCCTTGCTGGAGTGGGCGTAGCTTTGTTGGAGGAAGTGTGTCACTGTGGGGGGCGGACTTTGGGGTCTCCTGTGCTCAAGTTATATTCTGTGTGACACACAGCCTCCTTCTGCCGCCTTCAGATCAAGATGTAGAACTCTCAGCTCCTTCTCCAGCACCCTGTCTGCCTATATGCCGCCATGCCGCGCCGTGAAGATGGTGAACTGAACCTCTGAAACTATAAGCCAGCCCCAATTAAATGTTTTCTTCTACAAGAGTTGGTGTGGTCGTGGTGTCTCTTCACAGCAATAGAAACTCTAACTAAGACACATGCATACAGGAAAACACCTATACACATAACATTAGAAGTGAAAAAAAGCATATGAAATATGAATGCTTCCACCCACAGTAACAGTCAAATCTTGTTGGGATACGACTCTACTCATTAGTGAGAATATTGTATTCTGACTCCCATCTGGTTTGGGTGCATGCTGGAGTTTGGGGATCGGTAAGATAAGCACGGATGTACTGTGTTATCTACAGTCAGTGACTTCTGATGGCGTCTTAATCTGATAATTCTCCATCCTGGCTACACATTGAGGTCACCAGCAGCATTTGAATCAGAGCCCTAGTCTTACCCTAGAGGTTCTACTAAATTTTACTTGTGGGACATTACATATCTGTACTATGAAAAACAAAAACAAAACAAATGTTACTATTACTGTAGACTTCAGTGGAAAGGAGCACATGCATTATATAGAAACCAAAGGCAACTAGAGCGATGCCTACAGTTTAGGGCGATTAGAGATGGTTCACACGGTGTCCGGGTCCTTGAAGAAAACCCACGTGGGTTGGATTCAGAGGATTTCTCTGGGTTCGGCAATGCCCAGTTCTCTTGTCTGCAGCTTGCATCATCCTTTCTTGGCCTTGGTTTCTCCTGATGTGCAATAGCAACAGACCTGCTTCCCAGGGCCATTCTGTGATGGTGGAATGGGACCCGGCCTTATTTCAGGACACATTGTAGATGTCTCTACAAGGGAAGATTTTTACTCTAAACATTGCTAGCACTAACTGAACTGGGAAGAAAAACAATGGAGCCAAGACTGGCTTATTTCAACCTTTTGCATGAATTACTGGTGTTTATGGGTCAGCGTACACAGGGCCCATGTAAGAGAGAAATGGCAGAAGTATAAGAGCCGGGTAGCCAATTATTTTCTCCCTTTCCCCCCCACAGAATAATAATTTAAAACATTGAGTGAACGGAACTTACAGTAGCATTTAATTTTATGGTTCCAGAACATTTCCAAGTATTTATAATTGTTCTTGTTTGTGTCTTTGTTGTGGTGTGCCTGTGTGTGTGTGTGTGTCTGTGTGTTTGTGTGTCTGTGTGCAGGTGTTCATATGCCATAGTGTGCACGTGGCAATTACAGGATAGTTTTGGAGAGCCAGTTCTCACCTTCCTCTGTGGGAGCATCTAGGCATTGAACACAGGCCTCCAGATTTAAGCAGCAAATATTTTACTTGCTGAGCCATTTCTCTGGCCCCGATTTCATTTCAGACTTCACTCAGCTAAATTTTTAGAACAGCACCAACAGAATGATCAGTTTCCCCATAACCAGTAGTCATAAACGATAACATGAAATATGAGTAAAATCATGACAGTACTAACATGGCCTTTATTTCCCGTTTGGGGTTTGGTAAATTGTGTGCTTTATATTGCATTAGAGTTAATTTCTGTATGTATCATAATGCTTTCCTGTGTTTGCTGAGAAGATATGTAGCCATGCAGGCTTTTTCCACTATGAGAAAAAATGCTTTCCAGCTGCATTGCGTTTCTGGAAATGGAATCAACCGTAACCACTGGCACCAAATATTTAGCAGTCTGGACCCAGGCAGACGGCAGCAGGGAGGTGTCTGAACTGCTCCCAGACTGCCTTTGCCACAGGGCAGATATTAGAATGTGATATTTTTGTGCTCAGAGTAACTGAGCTTGTGGGGAATGCCAACATGGACAGTGTCAAGCCCCAATCAGCATTGCCGTGGCCTCTCTTTCCCTGGGATTTGTGGGGAGGGGGGGTCTCTATCCAAGGGCAGCCAATGCTTGCTGATCTGCTCTGTGAACAGCCCCCTCCACAGTTTGTTCACATGAAACCTCGGGCCAACCTCTGCTCCTCCTAGCTCTGTAGCCACCAATTCCACTCAGTTGGGGTGTGCTGAAGAAATCAGCTTTGGTGCCGCCACGCTAGCTAGTGTTTATAGAACGCCTACCACGTGGCTAACTTTTTAATAGGCCAAGTCTTCAGACACAGCTGATGATATAAGCGGCGCCATCTTATTTTCCAGATTAGAGAGCCAAGATAGTTGTCTTGCACACGCATTTCAGCCCGGCGTAAGATGACATCTAGGGCGAGCCGCCGCTTTGATAATTTAAGTCTTAGAACCTCCCTTCGGCTGAGACAAAGCTCAAATGATTTTTTTTCCAGGTTGGTGTGGAAAATGCTAACCAGTCTCCTTTCATATAAGAAAAGCCGACTGTCATGTAATATTTGAAAGGAAAAGAAATAATTCTAAATCATGCTGCCTAAAATATAACTTATCATTTTTATTAGAGTTCTAAAAATGAAACAGTTTGGAACAAATGTGGCTAAAGTATCTGCACTACTGGGTATTTTTCTTGTAGGGTGGATTATAAAGGTATATATATATATATATACATATATTTGATGTATATTTATATTTATATTTGAAATACATGTTTTTCAAAATTTTTGCAAAACAAAAGAAATTTCTGTGTATGTTGCAGATGACCCCTTGGTTAATATCCTCGTTTAAAACCTATGACGTCATTCCTTATCCTACTGTACACTATCATTTCCATGGCAACGAGACAGCAGTGGGAGGGGGCAGCCGTTGGCGTTTGAGATGATGGAAATGCATGGAAAGTTCCATTTTCTTGAACATTATGCAGATTTCTTCAGCATATAATAAACAGCAAAGAAAGTGTTGCCTTCTTGAGGAGGCGTCTTACTCGGCTTTTGGAATGTGTCCATTTTTCTGACAGTTTTTCTATCTTGCGCTTTCTTTCTTGCCCCCCTCCCCAGACCAAAATAAAGTCGTTAAAAAGCAGCCTGACGTTGCATGTGACTCAGTGGCAGATGTCGGGGGTTTGTGCTGGCAGAGACAGGTCCTGAGCAGAACGCTTGCACAGACTTAATTGCAAAGTGAATTTGACTTGAGTAAGCTTCAGTTGTCAGAATGTGACTGAGGAGTGAGATGTTTCTTTGAAATGAAAAGTTTTGTACATATATATATATATACACACACATACACACATACATACATACATACACAGACAACACACTGTTGCTGCTTTCTCTCAGGTCTTAATAAAATATTGCTAGCAAACTTAGATACTTAATGTATTTAATAGGTGGTCTTAACTCTGATGAATATGATCTCCTTTCTGGGACATCAGGAAAAGGTTTTGGATACACATTTCTACCATTAACGTATTTTCAAAATCAAGTTCTTTAATTTTTTTATGGTTTTATTTCATGTGTATGGGTGTTTGGCTTACATATCTATCTGTACACCATTTGTGCGCCTGGTGCTTGCAGTGGCCAGAAGAGAGTCACAGTCTCTGGACCTGGAGATGCAGGTAGCTGTGAGTCACAGTGTGGGTGCTGGGAACCAAAAATGTGGCCTCTGGAAGGGCAGCCAGTGCTCTTAGCTAATGAATAATCTTTTATTAAGAAACAGTTTTTTGTTAATTCCTTGAGAATTTTGTACAATGCATTTTGATCGCATTCTCCTCCTTTTCTCCCCCTAACTTCCCCCAGGCCCATGTCCTCCATCTCAGTAGCTCCATGTCCTCTTTCTGTTTTTAAAGAGACGATCCTTTTAGAAGGTCATTAGAATTGAATGAATGGCATGTGCGCTTTTATATCTCTGTGGAAAGCGGAGAGCTGCCTTAAGTATCCCTTCTTTGTACAGTGTACACACTGTGAGCATTGTTTATCTCATGGGGATAAATACAGATGCAGAAATCGTTTCCTTGCAAAGCCGAGGAAGTGTCTGCACCTTCTCACTCTGGGGCCAAATACAGTTGTTCTTCCCAGCCAATCACCGCTGTTGCTATCTGCAACGTTCCTAAGATTTCCCCTCTAGGTTCACCTTTGTCACGGTCAAAGCCAGTAGGCTAGAGAACAGTGACGGAACCCTACAGCTCCTCTAGTGCATGCACACAGAGTA